TTATTAGTCAATCATGATCAAAATAAAGAGAAAGAAGATGCTAGTTTGGAATTGATCAACGTAGTAAAATGTATAAATAACTAGATTTGATGAATATGTTTGGATCCTTCAGAAGTTAATACAGGATTTCTGAAAGTGTAGAAGTTAGAACATTGGAATGATGCATTATTTAAGAAACAAATTAGGGAGATATTGAAAGGGCGATTTAGTCTCTTTAGCATTATGTTTCAAATAGCGACTATTGATATATCGAAAATCTTTTGTAAGAGTCCAAGCCCTCTCCAGTCGAAAATCTTTTGTAAGAGTTCAAGCCCACCACTAGCAGATATTGTTCCCTTTATGATTTTCATGTCGTGATTCCCCTCAAGGTTTTCAAAATGCAGTCTACTAGAGACAAGTTTTCACACTCTTATGAAAATGATTATTCCTCTCACCAATTAAGGGATCTCACAAGCCACCCCCTTCGGGGCGCAACATCCTCGCTAGCACACCACTCAGTATCCACCCCCTTCAGGGTACAGCGTTCTCGCTAGCACTCTGCCTGGTGTCTAGCTCTGATACCATTTGTAATAGCCCAAGCCCACTGCTAGCTCTTATACAAATTGATTTAGTAAAACATTGGACGTTCTTACTTATCCTCTATGGTGATCTGCATGACTATGCCTACAGTATTAACACTGTTCTTATGTTATCAATAATATTTTGACACCAATATAAGAGTTTGTATCCATTCTTGATCGATTAAATAAGGCCAAGATTATAAGTTCTTGATTTTTGATCTGCAATGCTTGCCATCTTTTATAGGAGCAACACAACACTAGATGAATAGTTTGGTGTTTATACCTTCAGCCCTCAGGCTTTGATGTGAAGCTTGGCGCCTGTTTATTGTTGTTCTGTCTTACTGTATAGGTTGCACCAACGAACGCGCTGGGAGGGGCACGGAAAGCAGTTGATTTCTTGAAAACTTTTGGAAATAGTGTGTCAAATATGCACACAAACAATGGGTTTTTTACAGGCATGGCTTCAGATGGCAGGGAGATTTCCATTTTGGCTTTTGAAGTAGCAAACACCATAAGCAAAGTAGCCAATTTATCCCGATCTCTCTCAGAAGAAAACATCCAGCTCCTCAAAAAGGAACTTTCACAATCAGAAGGGATGAAACAATTAGTGTCAACAAATGTAGAGGAATTGCTAAGCATTGCAGCTGCTGACAAAAGGTGTGGTCATGGAATGTCTCGTGTAGTTTTGTGCTTATCAAAATCAAACCTTGTAGTCTTAAATTTCTGTTCTTGCAGACAGGAATTTGATGTGCTCTTACGGGAGGTTAAACGATTTGGAAACAGATGCAAGGATCCACAGTGGCACAATCTGGATCAGTTCTTTTCAAGGTAGTTAATATTGTCAGCTTTTTTCTCAATTATTGATGATCCGTAAACAGTGTCGAATAATTATGGTATTCCAGACTAGATTTGAATGATTCGACTCAAAAACAAGCTCGAGAGGCAAGAGCAGCTATGCAGGAGCTAACTGTCTTAGCTCAGTATACTTCTGTAAGTTCAGTTTTCAGCTCAGTTACTTCAAGATTGTCATATTTTTACTGATCATTGATCATTGTTAGATCTCATTTTTATTATTTTAGGTTAGATTTCATTTTCGGTTAGATCTCACATAAGTTGGAGAGAGAAATGAAAGATTGAGTGTGGAAATCTCTCCGTAGAAGTGTCTTTGAAAGATTGAGTGTGGAAATCTCTCCGTAGAAATGTCTTAATACCCTTAGGGGAGAAAGCCCAAAGAGAACAGTATCTGTTAGCGGTGGGCTTGGGCTACATATGGCATCAGAGCCAGACATCGGGTAGTGCCAGCGACCCGCGAGGACATTGGCCCCGAAGAGAGGTGCATTGTGAGATCCCACATCGGTTGGAGAGGAGTATCTGGTAGCGGTGGGCTTAGACTGTTACATATGGCATCAGAGCCAGATATCGGACAGTGCCAGCGACCAGCGAGGACGCTGGCTTCGAAGAGAGGTGAATTGTGAGATTCCACCTCGGTTGGAGAGAGCATCTGCTAGCGGTGAGCTTAAGCTGTTATATATGGTATCAGAGCTATACACCGGACAATGCCAGCAACCAGCAAGGACACTGACTCCGAAGAGAGGTGGATTGTGAGATCCCATATCGGTTGGAAAGGAGAACGAAACATTCCAACCTCTTCTAGTAGAAGGGATTTTAAAAAAGATGATAAGAGATAGCTAGCAGTGGGCTTTCTGATTTTTCTGATTCAGTCAGTTTTACAAAATTTAACCAAGTACCGAACCTCTTGCAGGAATTATACCATGAAATACAAATATTGGAAAGATTTGAGCAAGATTACAGACGGAAAGTCGACGAAGTGGAGTTCATGAACCAAGCAGGAATAGGTTGGTATATAGAAGCTTTCAACTTGCGAATTTTGGCATAAATAATTTGGTGTCAATTTGTTACACAAGAAGAACGTCCAAGTGTTATTCAATGCTGTCATTTTAATCTAAATTTAGGAGAAAGTCTCTCAATATTCCAAGGAGAATTAAACGTACAAAGAAAACTCGTAAGGAGCTTTCAGACCAAAGGCCTTTGGTCCAGAAATTTAGACGAGGTATTTACCAACTTTTGATAAGAACTAACCAACTTTTGTTCACAGATTTTTCTAAGTGATAAGAACTAACCAACTTTTGTTCACAGATTGTGGAAAAGCTCGTCGTGGTTGTAACATGGATAAATCAAGCAATAGCCAAAGCATTTGGAGACAAGAACACAGGTGCCTGCTTGGAATTGAACAGTCATCCGACTTTCTTGCTTGTTCTTCATTCTTCCATCCAACCATTTATCTTAAACTCTTACTGTAATGGCAACATACCATTGTAGATAAAGCATTGGTTATAGAGGAGAGAAGTATTGGCCAGAAACTGGGCTCTGTTGGTCTTGCCTTACATTATTCAAACATAATCAGCCAGATAAATCTCATTGTAAGTTGGCCGAACCTTGTTTGAAGTTTGAATTCTTGATGCTGAATAAAAAAGAAGTCAAGTGGGGTGGGTCGAATGAATAAAAGGATAGAGAAATAAACAGTAGCGGGCTTATGTTCTTAATTCGAATGATTATCCGATCCTTATGAGTGAGTTGTTCTTCTCGTGAACTACTCTCAAATTTGATCCTTGTTACTTAGAAAGGCTGTTTTTTTTGAAAGGCATGTCGCCCAACCTCCATTCCTTCCAATATGAGGGATGCATTATACAGGGCGCTGCCAACAAGTGTTAAAACAGCTCTGCGCTCTCGATTGCAGGCTGTGGATGACAGTGAGGAGGAGGTATTACCTTTTCTCTGTCTTTGACTGAAGTTTTCAACTTTGAATTCCTATGGGCCTCATGAGAGTTCTACTAATTTATAAACAATAATCGTGTTTTTCTGCAGCCAACTTATCTTGGTGTCAAAGTTGAAATGGATAAGATCCTTCGATGGCTTGTTCCTATAGCTGTAAACACAACCAAGTAAGGAGAATTTCTATTATTTAAGAGTTTGAAATGACTTTCCTAATCTCACCACGATTAATGGCAGAGCACATCAAGCTTGTGGCCGGATTGGAGAATGGGCATCTCAAAGGTTTGTTTCAGGATTCTTCTTTTCTAGAGAGAGAGAGAGATTTCAGTTGGGGCAACAATTAAAATAATTTCACCATTGTTTTTTGTGTAGTAAGGAACAGAGCAAAGGCAGAGCCACGCAGAGCAACCCAATCCGCCTTCAAACGCTGTACCACGCAGACAAAGCGAAAACAGAGCAACAAATTATCGAGCTGGTCACATTGCTCCACCATCTCATCCATTTAGCGAAACACCAACAACAACGCTTAACATCTCTCCGCTGCCGATCTCCTACTCCCAGGGAAATGGCAATTTCTCAGCCAAATAAAGCTCGTCGGATTCAATACAATAGCCAGTTCGTCAAAACCACCAAGGACGGAGCTCCAGCTGACAACAGACCTTCGGCCGGTCAAACTCCGATCACAAAGAGGAATTTCAGCAACAGAAGGTACGGAAACCTCTAAAACTGAGAATAAAGATTAAGGGATTTGAACTTTTAAGTAGAGGGGTTTCGGTTTTGACCTTGAATTCTCTTGGTAGTTTAGATTTAAGCTGAAAGGAAACAATGGGATAGTGTAGATATTAAAAAAAAAAAAAAAAAA